TTTTTTTACGAGGGGAAATCTTCATAGACACCCCCACTCCTCGGGGGAGGAGCGGGGGTAGTGTCAGATTCCTACTGACTAAAACCCCTCGGTGGTTCCCACCCCGTCGGTGTGGACGACCGAGGCGATCATCATCTACTTGCAACCTCGGCCGTCCCCGCTGGCGCAGAAGGCGCCTCGCCTCGAAACTATTCAGGAATAGTTCCCACCCCTGTGCCTAATGCACCGAGTCGGCCACGTAACCACGCCGCAGCCGACTCGCCCCCGGCCGCTTTCAGTGGGACTCCGAGCCCCCGCTCGAAGCCCCTGCGGCCCTGACAGACACCTGCCGTGGATGCTGGTTAGGTGTCTGCCAGACAACTCCCCAAAGTGTGTAACCTGAAGGGCTACACCCTTCTATCCTCCTGTCGAGGACGGCCGCGACTGGCATTAGTCTTCTGTGCCGGCCTGACTGGACGCCTTGGTTTTGGGGCGCACCCGCGCGCCCCCAGTCGATGGTTGGCCGGCCTGCCCAGGTCGCGGCAGAGCGGGCATTGACTTCCCTCAGCTGGGCACTCCTTTGCTGTATGGCCCTCCTCGCCGCACTTGTAGCACATGTGCGACCTATCGTGCTCCTGGTCACACATGGCGGCTGCGTGCCCCTTATGTAAGCACTTATAGCAGTGCATAGCACGCTGGGGCAGCACCACTATCCTCGCCGTCGTCCATCCTACACGGACCTTTCCAGCTTTCTCCAGCAGCCTGCCTGCTTCTTGCGGACACCTCAACCAGAGGGTCCCCAGGCTCTTGGGCGTCCTCTTGATCTGCCCGACCTGGATGCTCTCAGGCGGGCATTGTCCAACTTCGGCCAGGGCGGCCTTCACTTCATCCTCTGTTGCGGCGTCGTCGAGACCGAGGACCCGCATCTCCACAGTCCTCGTAGGCTGACGAAACCGCACCTCTGTCCCCTCGAATGCTGGCTGCAACCGACGGACCAGTTCCGCGACCTTTTGGTGTCCATCGGGGCCCGGAACACGCAGGATCATGCCCCCGGTGGCCGACTTCTTCGTCTTAAACTCGACGATGCCTATCTCCTGCAGTTGAGCGGCGGGCACGGTCTCCACCGCCTTCCGCATGGCTTCCGAGTAGGACGTCTTGCCACCCCTAGGAATGGTCAGGGTGAGAGCCGCCATCTCGTGAGCCCTCGGCACTTGCGCCTTCTTCGGCGCGGGCTTCCTCTTCTGCGGCTTCGGCTTTGGGTTGGCCCTCGCAGTTGCCGCTGCAGGTGGCGCAGTCTCCACGGCTGCTGCTGCCTGCTTTTTCTGCTGCCTCTTGGCCCTTCGGCCAACTACCGTTGCCCAGGTCTCCGCGGTTGGGGCAACAGGCGCCTTCGGCCTCTCTTGCTGGGGCCGGGGAGGGGGTGGTGCACCAGCACTCCTCTCTCTTCTTCTTCCCTGGTTAGGGACCTCTGGCAGCCGGGTGGCGCACCCCTGTGCCTAATGCACCGAGTCGGCCACGTAACCACGCCGCAGCCGACTCGCCCCCGGCCGCTTTCAGTGGGACTCCGAGCCCCCGCTCGAAGCCCCTGCGGCCCTGACAGACACCTGCCGTGGATGCTGGTTAGGTGTCTGCCAGACGACTCCCCGAACGGTGCAGCCCCGCGGGGTTACACCCTCCTGTCCTCCTGTTGTTGAGGACGGCCGCGATTGGGCGTCTTCTGTACCGGCGTCGGACGTCTCCTTGGCTTGGGAGCGCACCCGCGGGCTCCCAGTCTATGATCCGCCGGTCGGCCCAAATCGCGGCATAACGGGCACTGACTCTTCTCCGCAGTACAGGTCTTTGCGACGTGTCCTTCCTCTCCGCATTTGTAACATTTGTGCGACCGATCTTCTTGTCGGTCGCACACTGCGGCGGCATGCCCCCTATGCAGGCACTTGAAGCAATGCATAGGGCGATGTGGCAGCACTGCAATCCTCGCCGAGGTCCATCCAACCCTGACTTTACCAGCCTCCTCGATTTTGCGTCCTGCTTCCTTTCAAGGGGACACCTCAGCCAGAGGGTCCCCAGACTCCTGGGCGTCCGCTTGATTGCTCCCACCTTGATCTCCTCGGGTGGGCATTCGCCTAACTCGGCCAGAGCCTTTTGGACGTCCTCGCTCGTCGCCGCATCGTCCAGCCCAATGACACGCATGTCCACGGTCTTGGTGGGCTGGTGGAACTTTACTTCCGATCCCTCGAACGCCGGTTTGAGCCGACGGAGGAGCTCCTTCACCTTAGCCTGACCACCGGGGCCCGGGACTCCCAGGATCATGCCCCCGGTGGCCGACTTTTTCACCTTAAACTCGGTGATTCCGATCTGCTGGATTTCGGTTGAGGGGACCGTCTCCACCGCTTTCTTCATCGCCTCAGAATAGGTTGTCTTCCCGCCCTTTGGGATGGTCAAAGTCAGGGCAGCCATCTGAGGGACCTTCGGCACTTGCACCTTCTT